GGTAAACATTATTGTTATTACAAACAAGTACTTCCCATCATGACTTTCCCAATCTGTGAGAAGGTAACTTCCTGATGCCTTTTTCTCTGCAGTAAAATGGGTAGTTTTGTTTAAAGGTTTGGACATTTGCATCGTTGAATGCTGCTGTATAGAAAAAATACTGTGGATAAGTACCAGGTTTTTTTCTTCTATTTGTTTATAAAAATGTAAATATTCTCCTTTTTTTCTTGCTAGCTGCTCCAGTTGAACCTGCTGTAGTCGAGGAGCCACCCAAGGCCCCCACACCACCACCTCCTGCAGGTAACACTAACATCTGATCCTGCTTTGTGTCAAATGTAGCATTAATCTCTTGTATGTAAAGAAATTAAAGAAAGAGATCCTCTTATTTAAAAAGCTGGAAATGATAAATGAATTTGGCTTTAAATCAGATCTTGTATCAACATATTGTTTGACTGTTTTTCTAATGATTCATTGTGAAAATGAGAAAAATCCTCCATAATAATTATCAATAAAAATAACTGAGTTGCAGCTCCACACATTTATGCATTAGAATGTAAAGCACCTAATTATCCCATTATGTGTGTATTTTTAACTGTTTTGTCTATATTAAGAATGCTTTATCAATCTCACTGCACTAAACCTCTCACAGTCCCCACCAGTGCTCCTGTGGACGTCTCTGTGGATGATGTTAACGACTCCAGTCTCACCATTAAGTGGAAGACACCAGAGACCATCGGCGACTCGGGCCTGGATGGATACGCCATCGAGTACTGCAAGGATGGAAGTAAGTCTGCATATGTGTGTCACATGTATGTGAGAGCGTTTGCTTGCACCTGTCCCCGGCGAGTCAGAGGGCAAATATACTCATTGCTGGGTCCGGGCCGTATACGGCCGGCATCAGTTTACCGGCTGTCGCTGTATCTCCCGACACCACTTTTAGAAGCACTCGTTTGCTCAGATGACGGCATGCCTTCTGAGATTTCGTCATGGCAGCCAAAGTATACTTCTTATGGGCAGGTTGTTTGTAAACTGGTGTCAACAGGTGATAAACTACTTAAGTTTAATCGAGGGGTTTTTAACATTCAGGAAAATTGCAATAAATATGGAATAATGACCCTAAAAGCCTCTCACTAACACAGATCCTTGGTTTCCCAACAGCAGCAGACTGGGTTGTAGCTAACGAGGAGCTGACTGCAGCTAACCGATACTGCATCAAAAACCTGAAAGCGGGTGATTTGCTGCGTGTGCGCGTGGTGGCTGTAAACCCCGGTGGCCGCAGCGAACCTGGAACACTCGCTGACCCTGTGCCAATCCGCGAGGTTGTTGGTGAGTCATTATTGCACCTCACTATCAGGCAACTTCCTGTAAAGTTGTCTTTTTTTGCACACGCAGCACTTACAAGTTAGTCTTCATAGAAAGTGTCAAACCAACTCTAAAAACATCTCATAAAGTTTCTTCAAACCTTTGTTGCTAAGCTCCCGTGACATTATTCTGTTTGGAGAAGGAACCACGCAAATGCTAGCTTGCACAGTACAATGAGAATTTCTATTTCATAGCGAGAATCAACACAGAGAAAATGCTGTTCAACTCTGCACAAGACGTCCTGCACCAAAACCTTACAACGAAGCTTTCCGTTGCTGTGCAGCCACCTGGTAAAATGACTGTCTCCAACTCTTTATCAGGAGCTCTAACGTAGTTGTAACTTATGACCTATCCTTAAAATACTCGTGTTACAACCAGTGAGGTAGAGGTGGTATTAACTGCCGGTGCCTCAGATGGATTGCACAGATGCAAGCACATAAATTGCAAAGGTGCTGACAAGAGCTTTCATTAGCTGTAAGTCATGCTTTCATTTGCATGTACGCACATCTTCAGTCAAGACTGCTGCTCGGTACACTTTCAATTTACAGAATGTTCCTGTAATTTTATACATCCATGAAAATATATAACTAAACTAAATATAACTAAATAAATATAAAACTAAATTGCACTAAATCACTTTGAATCAGTTTGCAGCTTTGGTCCAGACTATAATATCACTTAATATACGATAATGTTTCTTTGTAATTTGCTAGGAAAATGGGAAATAGCTGCAGCATTTTATTGAAATATCCACACATACATGTAAATACTGCATATAAAGCAAAAACAGAGTTTGCACAATTCTAACAAGGTTAAAAGTCAGTGTTTGCTATGAGCACCTTTATTCTTCAACGCAGCCGAAACTCTGTTAGACGAACTTTCTTGTATTTTCTGTGAGCACTATTCAGGAATCCAGGCTTCTTGAAGGACATCCAGCTGTTCTTTGGACGTTGGCTGCTTTTTGTTCTGTTCTCAGTCAAGTTGATCACACACTGCTTCAGTCATGTTGAGGTTCAGTCCATGACTGAAAGTGTCTGTTTTTCTATCCAGGAATGCTTTGACATTACTGGCAGTGCTGCCAGAGATGTTTTACAGATACTAATGTGTGATGGATCAAAATCTTACTAAGGTATCTTGAGAGGTTGCTCTTCATAAATCACCTTGTTGGTGCAAAAATACTATTTGATGTCTATCAAACTGTGTTATCTTTGACCTTTGTGTTACTTTTTGTGTCTTTCTAAAACTTTGAAAGCCTGGATAATTATTGCTCAAGAAAGCAAAATGAAGGCTGACTCGAGATTTTTGCACAGTGCTGTATTTCCGATGCAGTTTGGGACATTCATTCATGTGTCTGTGAAACAGTCATTCATTTACTTATCACTGGGCCACAGTTTACTCAAAAAAAGGCCCAACACGGTTATGAGTAAGTAGGCGTTTGCACCAGGCCCAAATAGGCTGTTATTAGTACTCATTAGCAAATATTAACATGCTTGCCCTAAGATTGTTATATCTGCTAAACATCAGGATATTAGCATGACTACCATGGGAAACATGTTAAAGCATTTGACTCCAAGCACAAAAACAGACTGCCTAGTACTATGTAACTAATAGTGGATGCAGCCTTTTTGCTTACGATTGCATCAACGACTATTCTTTCCCCTTTGACCGATGCGTTCTTGTTAAAAATGCAAAAATGTTCTGGCTGATGGTTATTATGACCTTTGTAAAATCCCTTACGTTAACTGTTGCTTCACTATCGTGGTGTGCTGTGTACTGAGAAGTGCAGCTCCAGAATGCACAGAGACTCTCTTCACCACACGTCGCTCACAGCACTTTTTCTGTGGTTTAAACCACAGTTGGTTTATTTTCCGTAGTTCTGATTCTGAACCCACACACCGACGTAGCGCCGACCTGAGTTGACATGCCCCAGTTACCCACAGCTTACTGTCTCTCGGCGTATTTCCTGGTTGGTGAAACATGAGCCTAATTGTTGGATTCAGTATGGCTTGTTGAGGTTAAATTCAGCTGTGTGTCAGTCACAAGCTGTCCGGACCAGACACCCATCCACAGGTCTAAGCTTTAGAGGAAGACATGCTGTCCTACATATGCTGAAAGCCCCCTACAAAGACATTTTATCCGGAGACAATGGCAGATTATAGATTCCTTGCAGGGGGGACTTACAGGCTGGTGGATGCCACAATGCCTGCAACACTTCGGGGCATTGCTGGGAAGTGTGCTGATTAGCAAGGATTAGTGTTTGAGCCAAATCTGGAGGCAGCCCTGATCTACTTGGGAAATGGTTGTTCCAGAAGCAAGATCCCATCCTGAGAAGCAATGATACGGTGACAAATGTAAGAGCAGGAAGGCAAGATATCAGGTTAGATTTAGTGCATCAGAAGGAGAAGATGTAAATACTCTTATAGCTAGAAGAAGATGGGAGTGGATGTGGTGCCCAATGGGAGGGTAGTTTGAGTGGATTAGGAGAAGCAGGCTGTAGGGGGGTGAATGAGGTGAGGGAGGGCAGGAGCCTGGTGGTTTTATTTATCCTCTAAGCCCAGAGAGCTTTTCAGACATTTGCTGCTTATGCAGAAACATGTGAGAGATGCTGTTCCTGATACTTAGCACTTGGCGTGAAGGAAACCATCCAGCAGAGCTCAGCTAGATGTCTGCGATGCAACTTCACCTGTTTGATTTTAATCACATCAGGAGTTGCTGCAGTCGTCTGCAGATGTGATATCACAACCACTGCTCAGCTGAAAGTGTTGACATGTATTTGTGGTTTCTTTGGGCACGACGTGAGGGCTGTGCTTTCAGGGTTCAGTCTTTCTTGTCACTAAAGCTATTTTAGGAGCTGCTGGTTTGAGGTCTTACTTGCTCGGCTCTCCCTGCCTGGATACGGCACTTTTCTGTAAGCACACAGAACCTTTGTTTAGATTTCACATCATTTTTTGTTTTGTTTGGTGCTGCAAAAACTGGGTCATGAGGCGTGAGCACTTAAACGGTGGCTTGAGTGTGATGATGTGTCAGGTTACTTGCATCAGTATGGAAAAGATTTTATGTTAGCTTGTTTTTATGTTTTTAAGGAAATGTTT